TATTTTTTTTATTGCTTATAAATGGACTGACTCTGGACGTGAAATCTCAACTCCTAAAACTAATACTTATATTTCTAATGACTTTATTTGCAGGTATTTAGCCAAAATTGTGTATGAATTTCATGTCATCATTCAAGATGGAAGTGTACACTTTACAGACAACTTCATGATTCGATTATAACCTTGTCGTATCTCTTGGAAGTTACATATGTAAATTAATATTGGCAATGCAATAGATTTGTTTGTTTCAGTTAGCTTAATGGTCAGTACTTGGAACCAGCCACCTTTGTTACCCCTTCTTCAGGCATTTTAATCTAAAACCTGGATCTGGTGATAGTTATAGGGTTAAAATCTACCATGCACATAGTCAAGCTATTTAAAATGTTCTTGTTAATGTATTTCTTTAACTTTTTGAGAAGAAACATAGAAACGGTAGCCATTGTAATGGCTAGTCACTTAAATTGCCGAAGACTTTGGGTTTTTTTCTAAATTGCCTTATGCTGTAAATTCCTCTTTGTTCCAACTGTAAGCCTAGGGTAATTGGGGGTTTTGGTGAAAATGAAGGTTAAATATGTTTTCCTGAAGAGGAAAGCTTGACTGGGCCAGTGTTATATCATGGATTGTTGTGCCTTTCTTGGATGAGTAACTTGAAGGGAAAAGTGAACCTACTGAAAAAGGTGCTTATTTAGGAGAAGTATTTAAGGCCTGAGTGATTCATTACTTAACAGTAAAGAAAAAGTAGAAGTGCCCATATTTTATTTTTATAGTAGTTACTTAATGACAGCTGAATTCACACTTTTTCATAAACATGAGGCAAATATACCATTGTTTTATATTGACATGGACCTGATGAGGTTCGATAGCTTCCACTGAACCAGTGAATCTTTACAATGGATTGCTGAATAATTGATGCTATAATGTATGTCAGCATAAATGGATGAGACTGATGACCTGAGTGTGAGTACATATTTGGATATTTTCAGTGTATAGCATCACAGCAAGGGAAGAAAATAGACCCTATGCTGAGTAATTTCTTTCTGATGCTATGGAATTGTGTTCACTGCTTGGGTGTTAGTATCCAGCAGAGAACTGCAACTGTTCTGAGGCAGGCTATGCTTTCTGTTCTCATGAAAATTAAGTTTAATATCTTGTTTCCAGTTGTTGAACTGCTTACAGATTGTCTGGTTGGAAATAAAGGATAACGTTAACATAGAATCCAAGTTGTAAAAGGTCAGAAATGACAGTTAATGTGAATGGTACTCTGATGAGGAAAGTGCTCTGTACCAATTTTTGAACCTGTTATTTCACATCATTATCTGTGATTTTCAATTACTATGTGTTGTATCACATGATTGAAGACTATGTGTTTAGCTCTGTTTTTAAAAGACTAGATTCTGTGCTCCACTCTAGAGCCAGATTTATAATAAATGAAGAACCATCGATGATGGCTGTAGTTAACTCCCTGCACACATTGCAAGTCTGCCACACTTAATAGTGGTTGATACTTGTCATTCTCTGCACAAGTACTCAGAGGGTGAATGTCACTCACATCATGAGAAAAGAATAGGTGGGTTTGACACGTGGCACCTTCCTGTTATGTGGTTTCTTAGGAGGGCAGTAAAGCACGACTGCCTCATACTTCAGATCACTCCTGTGAATCAGTCAAACTAACTTTCTGTCATCAAAGGAAAGGCATTGCAGTTTGATGCCAGGATGACATGCTGTTCTGGGCAAACATGTTTCAAAGAACTTACCAAGCGTGACTGAATGTGAATATTTGTTGTAGTTTCTTCTGTAGTAGTAGTAGTAATAATAAACATTGAAATAAGTTACCATTTAACTTTTGGTAAACCTTCTTTGCCTACCCTAAAAGGAATAACAATTCACACCAAACAAGATTTTGTCTTTTTACTAGACAACAAAATTAGAACCTTTTTTCCAGCTTACCTAGAGAGGACACTGGAGTTCGGAAGAAAGTTTGAGCAATAGCTGTTCCTTTATGGAAAACTATCTACTGCTCTTGAAGATCCCTGAATAGGAGGAAAGTAGTGTTTGCCTGACAAAACCTTAAAATTAATGAAAACACAGGAAGATACTTATCTCTCATATTAATCACAGAAAGATGGCTCAGCCACATAATGTAAGAGATCTGAGACTTACATAATTTTGAAAATATAGCAGAGAATAGTTGACTTTAAATGATCACAACAGGCATTTTTTTCTGCTGTATACACATATGCAGCCTTGAGAAGAAGTTAATGCCATACTTGCCTCTTGTGTTGTGGAATTTACCTGTTGTGCCTTTTCAGACCTCCTCAAAACTGTCCTCCCATATGTGTGGGATGCTGTAAAGATTGACAAATAGAAGCTGCAGAACAGTAGTTAAGATCTGATAGAGTGAAGCAGTAACATCCTTAGAGGTTGAAAGCTGGGTTTTGGCAGACAGGTGCAGAGCTGAGCTACCACCATCTGTGAGGTACAAAGGAAAAAAGTCTAGTTTGAATGCTTCAGCTCACACTGAAGCACCACTTCCATAATTTTCACAATTTTTAAGGAATATTGTTTAGTTCTGAGTGTAAGGGAAGAATTGCAGTTGAGAGCATAGCTTCACCTGGGTGATAGTTAAATTTGCCCAGATGCTGAATAACTTGTTCCAATAGGTGAATCCTGATCATTTATGAAGTAACTGACACAGCAGTAGAATATGTGGTATATGTTGCTGATTATAATCAATAAAGAACAAGTTTGGTTGTTTTGAACAGTTAATCTGATTGAAGTCACAGATGTCAAACAAAAAGACCCACAAGTGTTGGGTAGTTTGGACATTGGATGATTTGGAGCAGAGACAACCTGAGTGTAGTGCTATCTAGGGAGAGCTGGACAATCTGTGTTACGATCTGGTAAATGGTAGTTTCTCAAACCTGAAGTGTAAATGATAGATCGTATTTGTCTGGTGGGGAGGAAGGACGAGAAATGACGTTGCATATCAACTTGTTCTGCTTTCTGAAATGGCTTTCCTGCTATAATGAATGCCTCCTGTAATACTTCGCTGAAGGGGAAAAAAAGTTAATTAAAACTGAATTTTGTATTAAAAGGTAAATGTTGTGTTTCAATTCATACTATTAAAAACTGATTTATGTGCAGCAGCCATTTTGGGGTGTAGAGTGCTTACTGGTAATTTTTTCTCTTTTGTAGCCTGTTTTTATTCTTCACAATTAGTAAGCATACCAGCAAAGCATGTGGGCATTCTGTGTTGTTGACCAAGTTACAAGACTAAATGCAGAATTTCTGGGTTTATGTACAGTGTTTACCTTCTGCAGCTAGAAAAGCTTGCTGGTTTCAAGATAGTGCAATGCCTAAAACTTGAAAAATCAGTAGTTGAAGCCTGGCTGCAGGCGTAAAAGGCTTTAGTTTCATCATTTAATAACTTTTCCTCATTAACGAAGAGGAGCGTAGCAATGGTTGTGGTATGATTGTTCAATGTTTCATGGTTAGTGTAGTTACAGTATCTTAGGGGAATGTTTATATAAAATATTTAGAGCTTTATCATAATGGCTTTTGGTAATGAACTGTTATCTAGATTAAAACCTGATACAAACTACTTCCAAAATTTTTTAAATGAGAGCTTCTTCAAGTAGTGTTAGTCTAGGATTTCTATTAGCTCTTTGTTAGACTCTGAATAATGGTTCACAGTATATAGAAGGGCATGACTGTCTTTGGTTGTGTTTCCGTGGGCTCTTCATGCATTTCTCCTGGCATGGAGTGCATATACCCATGTGCTTGATTTCAGAATGCTCTGCTAGATACCCCTGATTTCTGGAAATTGCTGCTGTGTTACCCTCGTTGAGCCAATCTGCCCTCAAGAAAGGAAAGCTCAAACATAACTGCAGTTAGCCTGCGGTTTTACCCAAGGTGCATAAACTCTGTGTTGCTAATCCATCTCGGTCTTTGTGTGCTATGCCATGCTTTAGGAGGAGGTGCCATATCTGTTCTCAGAAATCACCTGCAAAAATACGGTTGTTGGTTACAAGAATAATGTAGTAAATGTAGTAAAACAAATAAAGTAATGTAGAGGTTGCTGTAATGTCAGTTTCATAAGTAAAGTTGTATGTCAGCTCAGTTTTACTCAGGCTTATGGCTGTTTCCTGTAAATGTTCAAACAACCTTAAAGTTACCATAGCTTTCAAGTATATTTTTGCTGGTGTCTTATCCCACTATTTCTTCACTTGATTAAGATGCCTCCCAGTGCTATTGAGCTGAATACCACATTAATCCTTGAAACAGAACCTGAAATGCATGTTATTTGGCACTTCCAAATAGTTAAAATCCTAACTGACTTAAGTTTGTAATATTTTTTTCTTAACATTTTATAATCTTGTTATCAGTAGGCCTGATGTTGTTGCATGATTGCTGCATTTGCAAGCAGAAGGTAACTCAACATTTTTACACGAAGAAGAAAGGGAAATCAAGGTCTAGAAGCTTGGTTGCAGCCTTCCTTTGCAGGCAAACTTCTGAATGTTTCTTCTTTAGTATTTGTGTGTGGTTTTTTTATACAAAGTGGTGAAGGTCCTTGTCTGTAAAGGTAGAAATCATATCAAGCATTACATCAAAAAGGAACTTTGCATTATAGCAGAATTAGGTTTTACCAATTATTCCTCTGATATATTCACATGTCCTATTTAAATTGTGTTTGTACTAGCACACTGTAAAGCCTTCTTTTCTGTACTATAACTATATGAATTCTTATATTAGAATATAGGAACTGATCTGTACTGGTCAGTAGGTCATCTTTGTCCAATGAAGTTCCAGGCTACATGATTGTTGTACATAGTTGACTAAAAGCAATTCCATTGCAAACTCTGCAGTATTAAATGCTCATTGAGTGCAGTGTTTCCTACCTAAGCACGTTGCAAACCCTCCCACGTGAGTGTATGTAACGGTGTGAGCGTGTTCTCAGAATGTTGTTTTACAGAATGCATCTTGTTTGTTTTGCTGATTAGGGATTAGAGAGATGTCAGAAGAAGAGAATGGAGGAAACTCTTCAGAGGAGGATAGGAGCTGTATTCCTGTGGGTGTTTTTAGTATATGGAGCTGAAATCCAGATTCAGGATGCAAAAGAATCAAAGTAAGTAAGTTATTGAGAAGAGTTTTGAAGGAAAGTGGGAATCTGCTTTTGGGTATAGTTTGGGCACTATATGAGGTCCTGTTGAATATGTTCTTTGCAGTATACTGTGAGTGGCTGCATAGACCATTCTCTAGACTTTCTCCATCTTCTCCTTAAATCTGTTTGGTGGAATTCAGCCCTATTTTGTAGGGGTGGGATGAGTTGCAGGCATTCAGCCTCTGAAGATGATGCTTAAAATACCTGTGCCTCATAATATTGCATATTTGGTATTCTTGTAGTAATTTACTCTCTTATAGTCTTTAAGAAAGTAATAAAAGACAGGTAAGTGGAGGAACTAAGAACTGAAAGTCACACACTGCAAAACATCTAAATTAGTACCAGCTTAAAATGGACATTCAATGCCTTTATTGTGTTGCAAGGAACATCAAGTTTTGAAGCACAGAACATATATCATAGAACTAGACTTCCCAATGTCGGGGTGGGGGGGGGTGGGGAGGAATGTGTGTAGCTCAAAATATTAAGCTATTATCAGATTCATTTAGCACGGGTGATATAGTAGTGTGATGATAACTGCCAACAGTTTAAAACATAGGAATCCATGCTTTGTGTAATGGACCTTGTATTTTGATTTACCTCCTTTTTTTTTTACAGCAAAGCTTGGCTAACAACAATAAGAAAATGAAAAAAAAATAAAAAATCTCACAACCTAGCAACAAAAAAAACCTTCCCCCCAAAAAAAACCAAGCAAACCAGCCAACCACAGTATAGGAAAATGCACATAAACTCAAAGGAAATGCATGGGCAGAAATATTTCTCACATTCAGAAAATGAAGTATAAGAGGATGCTGGAATTTATCTTTGTAGTCTCCGTGAGCCTGTAATCCAAATGCTACTGAATTAAACTAAATTATAACTAAGAATTTTGTGAATGCAGAATATCTAGGAAATGTCTATAAAGCACAAAGCTATAGTTTACCTCTAACTCACCTTGTAGGATTCTGTAATTGAATTGAGAAAGCACATTCTGCTTTAGCACTTTAATTCAATCTTCTTGTTCAATAAATGACATCACTCACACTTGAACCAAAAACACTTTATAGAAATGTAGCTGCAGCTAAGAAAAAAAAAGCAGGGGGGCTTATGCTAAAAAATCCTCCAAATATTCAGAAAGCCCTGTTGAATTTTGTGTAAACTTCCAGAATTAGGTGCTTTATACACTCGTTGTCCCCACCCTGCAGTAGGTTAAGAATGTTAGCAAGTAGGCTCATGCTGTGAACAAATCCAGGGTTCAGGGCAGCCGATTTGCTGACTGGGCTTTTGGGCAGTCGAGTTCCATCTCTGACTACATTCCAGGAAGTGAGGACAATAGGATAAATAAACAGTGATTAATAGTTTTTAGGCTTTCTTTAGCTCCAATTGGTAAGTAAAAAAATATATGGCTACTTCAGCAGTAATTAACGCACTTGAAAATGAATGTTCTTTGCACAGTCACATTTGTTCAAACTAGTCTTAAAATGTAACAGCATAAGCAATTTTTGGTTTTTCTCAGACTCCGCAAAATACTTTCATTTTTCTACTGTTAAATATTCAGATAACTGGAAATCTACTATTTTAAATGAAGTTGTAATTTTTGAAACATGGTATTCTACTCATTAGGTTGCTCTGGTAGTATGTGCAATTGCATTGTTTTGTTCTTTGCCTTGATGTAAAATGTTAAGAGAACAGTTCCTTCACCTCCTTCCTTGCCAGTCACATTTTTGATTAACACATACATGAGTAGATAGACCCTCCTGATAAACTACAGAAAAATAAATTTCCTGTTCATCATATTTAGTTTATAGCTTGAAAACAAGACCTGATTTCTTTTTTTTTAGCAACAATTCTGTAACAGAAGTGCATCTGAAAAAAGATTTCAAAGCAGTTTTCCAACTATGTAAATCACAACGATGGTAAATGAACAGCGTGTATTAAATTGGAAAACGTATTTGGGGACTTTTGTCAGGTGTAACTAGAAAAAAGCAATACTGGGATGGTCACTTCATTCTCTGCATCAGGTTTTGTTGTTCCCTAGACGTGGTGTGTTCTTCAGACAGTCATTTTTCTGAAGCAAGTCCAGTGTCAGCCTTAGTCGATGAAGGCTCTGAGTAGAGGTGAAGATGCTTCCAGCTAGTACTTGGTGTTCTCAGAACTTGGGGTTTGAAAGGGCTTCTGGTGCCTTTGTCAATGGAGGACTGAAAATGAAGACAGGTATCAATGTTGCAAGTGACTGAAATACTTCAGAACTGCATTTGAAACCAATATTAGAATTATAAAATATGTGCAAGTATTGAGAAGTAAACAATGGCTTCAAGGAAGTAGGGTGGCTGGTGAATTCGTGGGCTGTACTGAACAGGATTTTGGCAAGTTACTGTAATACAAACACTTACATTACAGATAAATCCCTTATACACTGAGAGAGTCACCCAAGAGAATGCATTAGATATGCAGACATTCTGTGCACTGAACTTGTTTTTATCCTGACCTTAAATTTTAGCAGAAAATCCATGAGATGCAGGCTGGTGGCACACATAATTGTATATTCTTTGTCCATTACTGGAGACTTGATAGGCATTGAAAAGTTGAACGAGTGTGGATTAGAGGTCTAAATTTCAAAGTAGCAAACTACTACAATGCCAATTTTAATGCAGGTGCAGGTGACCCATTGGATGCTGAAATAATTGTCCTAATGTAGACTGCATTTACTCTGAGCTGCAGTAAATGTGTTAACTTGTAGTTAATAGTTGCGTTGGCATAGAGCTGATGTTTCTTAGAAGTCCACTGAAAGGAAAAAAAATATCACTTTTCTAAACAACCTAGACAAGGCAAATACCCTATGAATAATTTATTCTATCGGAAGTTTTTTGCCAGCTTTGGTTAAAATTTGTGAGAATTCTTTTGTTGCTGTAGTCTTTTCTCTGCTAAGAGGCATTCCTTGTTATGTAGCTGTATACATGCGTAACTTTATTTTTCAACTTCCTGGTCTTTCTAAATTGATACATAAACTAGTTTCAAATTTGGATAGCTTTTGTGGATCAGAACTTCATCTGAATTTTTTGGTTGCAGTAAGGCAGCACTCCAAGAGATCTAAAAGTGGGATAAAAGTCTTCTATAACTACAGTCCGCACACAGGGAACATACATAAGCCTTTGCTAGCAGCAAGATCTAGGCCATCTTCTATTTGTCCAGATGTATTACTGTGCCTGGAAAAGTGATCAATCTTGTAAACTTTGAGATACTTGAAGAGAAAGGTGGTGTTTATTTCATAGCACTGTGGGGATGGCGTGGGGGGGGAGGGGGAGTGGGGGGACGGAGAATTGATAAATTGCAATTTATTTTGGTGTTCAAACTGATTTGCCCACCCTCATGAGATGAGTACTAAACCTGTGTGCTATATTAAGTTTTATTTAGAGTAAAACCTAACAAATGATCCTAAGGAAAAAACCGAAAACTAAGTCCTAAAAACAAAGCCTAAAAACACCCAAAGAACAAAGCCCACCTACTCAAACCAACCAAAACCTTGAAATAGAGTTTCTGTAATCTTTTAAAAACAATAGAACTATTAATTCTATTTTTATTTTCCTGCAATCATGCTCTCAGAAGGGGGTTCACTGTGAAAGGAAATGGCCCGGAGGGGCTTGTGCTGTGCTGTTTTCTGCTGAGTTACTCCACATAGTGACTGTAAACCATAGAAAAGTACAGAAATGTAAAATAGATGTCTTTGAGAAGTCAATGTGATTGTTTAATATATGTTAACACCCAGATTTGTTCTGCAAGCTTTTTGTTAAGTGACTAGACAATTTCAAGGTATTTACCTGTATAAACTCAGTTCACTTACGATGAACTTTTAAGTCTGAGTATTTGAAAGCCTGGATTGAATTTCATTTTCTTGAACATAAAGCTATTCTTTTTGGCAATGCAAATTCTGACTCCCAAAGAGAAAAGGAAACTTACAACTTCCTGAGCTGCTTCCTTTCCAGTATGTTGGCAGAAGGTACTTTAAAACTAGAAATTAATGGACTTGGGGATAAGCAAGCAACTTGTTTGTATCTTGTGTACTGGAAGCATTCCACATGGTCAAGCAGTGCTTTCCGGCAAGCTTATTTTCTATTAAATGAAGCTTAATTTTGAGGTAAGGTTCTGTTTATTTTTTTTGTTATGCATATAATGATATAAAAACTCCTACAGTAGTTTAAAAACTTTCAACTGCTGCCTGCTATATTAGTGTAATATTTTCTTTAAAGAATGCATGAAATGTATACAGCTGTGGTTGTGAAGAAAGAAATCAAGCTGAAAAATAAATGTGATGTGTGAATATTGAAGCTCCAAGTAAACATTGCAATTAACAGCCAGGAGACTAACCTGACCATTACAGCAATTGACTATTTTTAAACAGTTTCCAGGGAGACTGGAGAATATGATCATATAATAAATGAGTTTGCTAAGCCTTGGGGAAAAAGGGCCATGCCTTTCATTGGTATGAGAACAAATAGTTCAGAAAATGACTTAACTTTGTTTCATCTTAATACATGTAAGAGAGGTGGCAAAAAGAACAAGGAAAAATCATTACCAGAATAATCTCACAGATAAATTACCATTTCTATACAGTAATGCTTAGAGAAAAAAATGTCACAAGTGGCAAGACTGGCTTTGGGCAAAATGTTGATACATCTTGCTCCAGATTCTTAATCTGTTGGAGTTATTTTGACCTTGTACACATTACTGTTCCAAATGTGTGTCTGGCTTTGACTGCTCATCTGGAAATGGTGCTTGTAATACTAAAAGGTCGCTAATGGAATTTTGCCCTGCTATTCTCTATGTTTGAAAAATATCCTTAGTGAACTTTCAAAGCAGCCTATAATTAAAGCAGCACATCAGTTTACATCAGACATGTCTCAGGACAAGGTTAAATGAAGTCAAATCACTAAAGAGTAAATAGTTATTTAGGATACACATTTCATCAT